TGCATCTTGTTCTAATGCAATTACATCAGCATTTGATGCCATTAGCATTTAGTTCGCTCTTGCACTTTTCATAGAAAACCATACGAACCCTTACCCATAAAGAATTTTGATGTTACAAGTTGCCGATAATTAGATCTTCACTAATCGCGATATGGGCTTCGCATAAAAGCTATATTTTCATCAATGTCAAATTTGGCAATTTCAATTTCTTGGATCCTTCCCCTGTGTCATTTTTAAATAATCAAATGATTACAAAAGCATGAGTTAAACAGATGGAACAAGATTTTATTGCGAAAATTGAGGGCAAACTAAATTGGTGAACGTATAAATGCTAACAATTGTTAAAATTTCTTTTGCTCAGAAACGAAATGTTCCACGTTTTTGAAAATTCTTGCTCTCATTGTACCACTTGTATCTATATGCACCAGGATCCCGACTTATGGATTTTTTGGTTCGAGAAATTAAGATAAGAGGATCTTACTGACTAATTTTCAAATTCGATAAATGTTAGTTGATCGTATATTTCATTATAGTTCTATCATTCAGAGTCTCATTTCCTGTTTGATCCATTTGAATTCCATATTCAAAGTTACGATTCTCAAATACTCATTTTTGAGATTTAAAAACTCGAAAATAATATGAAAGCGATTAGTGTGGAATTTGAAGACACGATGGTTTAGGTATAATTATTATGAATTAATTTCGTATCTTTTCTTAATTGGCATACCTTTTGGCATGAGTCACTCTGGATTATTGGATCACATTGGGAGTCGGGACATGAATGGCAATCCAAATCGTATTCTATCATGATAGTCCACGACTCTTCAGTGTGCACCTATTGCATTGAAAAATGCGCGCCTAGTCATTACACCTAATAAATGATTTCGTCCAATTACACTCGTTGTTTTTCATGTAGACGACATGTTACCTATCGGAATGCACCACCAAGTCATTACATCGTACTCGAACCACAACTCTGTTTCCATAAACTTTAAAGCTCTTCAGCAAACACCCATTTGACAATTTTGTCTAGTCTCACTCCTTCGCTTGCCTTGTAAATGCCATGTACGCCAGTTGGTCGGATTGCATCGCCAAGTCATTTCCACATTACTAATCCATGATCTCTTTTCGCAATTATGCGTACATGCAAAGTACAAAGTTTAATGTACTTTGACCCAAAAAAAGAAAAAAAAAAATGGGTGTCCTCTTTTAGAGCTCCAACTCATAAGCCCACTTAAAACATATTATCCAGCACAAAAGATAACAAAATAGCCCAAGTATGCCGAAATTAAGTCATTGAATGGTTTTGATGAAAATTGAATTTTTAGTAGATTTTGATAAAATTTGATCAAATATTTGATTGAAAAGTTGATAAAAATTATAAATCTCATAAAATGTATGATTGAAAATGCGTTTAAAAAAAATGAGTTTTAGATAATATAAGCTAAACGAGGGTTAAAACCAATTATGAATATGCGGTCGAATGTTCGCGAAGAATAACTAGAAAATAAGCAGGGCGGACACAGACAATTATAGTTAAGGGGCACAATCGAACTTGTAAAAAAGTTGGAAAAATTTTACAATCGAAAATTTATATCCAAAAAAATCATACCCCATGTAATTTTACATCCGAAAATTTACATGGAATATGACTTTTTCGGATGTAAAATTTCGAAAATTTTTGATGTCATATCCTATATAAATTTTCTAATAAAATAATGCAAATTACATTAAGAAATTTGAATCACAAAAATAATAAATGTTAATAAAATAATTAAATTTTTAAACTAATAAAATAATACAAATTACATTAAGAAAAATAATAAATATTAATGAAATAATTATTTTTTAAAAAAAAATGCGAGTCAAACGCCTCTTTTTAAGACGTACGTTTGACGTATTTTTAACTATTGTCGATATATATTTGAAATATTCGATATACCTATAATATAGTTCTCGAAACGAGTTTTGAGATGATATAAGGGATTTGTATATTCAACTACCACACGATCGTTAGAGAATTTTTAAAATTAACATGTTATTGAAATTCTCGATTACTAATTTTAAACCGCTTATTTTGACAAGTCGTAACATTTACTACAATTGGTCATTTCGTACGCCATTAACGACATAAAAAACTGGACTGTAAACACTTCAAAATGGTATTAAGAATGTAATATTTCGATTTTGTTTCATATCTTATAATAATTTCGAAAATTGAAACAAAATTTAAAAAAAAAAAAAAGGCAAAGTGGGGGGTGGCAGCACGTGCCCCCGGGCCCACCACTGGGTCCGCCAGTGAAAATAAGTAATTTTCAAAATCTACCACAAGATATTTAAATTTCAAGCCTTTTTTTTCTTTCATTTGAGAATTGGGACGATGATATGCTACCTATGCAGCTAAATATATTTATCTATTGTCAGTTTTGAAATTGCATCAATCCAATATTTGTTTGAATAATAGCAATATTGAATGTTCTTGTTTTACTACTATTCAAAATTCAAGTCATAGTCTTTGAAATTTTTTTCTATCATTAACTTTTACCGAAAACGTACTTCACAGAAGCAATGTGTAGTTTTTGTTCAAAATTTGGTTTATTTTCCTGTATAATTTAAAATGCACTGGCTTTAACATGATATGTTATACTGCTATTTAATTTAATTTAATTTAATTGAAATTGATTATTGAAACTGTATTGCACTTTTATTCTATTCTTTATTCCTTATTAAAATATTGTGTCAACTGTTATGAAAATATTTTTAAAGGAAAAACTCTATAATGATAGTTTTGTTGTGTTTATAAGTATGAAATCAAGTAATGAATTATTGCAATAATATATCGAAATATTTTATTACTTTATATTGTATCAAAGAATTTCTACTTAACTTTTGCCCCGAACCTAAAATAAAATAAAATAAAAAACAACAACAACAAATTTGGATTAATTAATGTCATTAATTAAATACGGAACTCATCTAAATATATATATAATATATTAAATATCACACCAAATGAGAATAATTTTTTGGACGATTATAGTCCTACTATAATTCAATTATTTCAATTATATATTACTTTTTGTTTTTCAATATGTATTTAATTTATTTAACCGTTTAATTTCCATCAATGTACATGTAAATTTGACATATTCATTTCACATGTGTACTTTCATTATGTATGAGTTCCTTATTAATTAATATTCACATTCATTTATGCACTTTATTGTTATTAATTCTAATTATAAGTTAATTAGAATTTCACATTCAAGAATGCATATCATTATTCACGTACATGTATGCTAATAAACATTCAATTTTTGTGAGAATCATTTTTTGGAGGATTTTAGTCATACTATAATTCAATTATTTCAATAATCTTCTACTTTTCGTTTTTCAATATGTATTTAGTTTATTTAACCACTTAGTTACCATCAATATACACATACATTTGAGCGATCAATTTCACCTGTGTGCTTTCATCAATGTATGAATTACGTATCATTAATTCTCAGTTAATTAACATTAACATTCATTTAATTAATAATCATATTTATTTATTCATTTCAGTGTTATTTATTCTAATTATAAGTTAATTAGAATTTTACACTAAAAAATATATTTCATTATTCACGTCAATGTATACTAATTAACATTTAATTTTACTTAATTGAAAATTAAATAAAAAATTTAATATTCATTGTCATGTATATATTCTCTGATATTAATTTTAAATTAATTAGCATTCAAGCATATTCAAATATTACTTTACAGTTCCTCCAAGTTGGCCAATAATTGATTATTAAAACCATTTAATAACCTCATTTAACTTATTAATTTTCAACATTTTTTTTTTACTTTAAATGCCAAGGACATTTAAAGAACAAATATTCTGCAATTCAACATAACAAATAGAATAATGCTATTCGTAGTGGCTCACTAAGGCAGTAGCCCTACGTGAAATACACGTGATAGGTGATGCATTAAATAACCACCTACTATGTATATGCCACATTGGACAACTGTCGTAGTGAGCTACTGTAAATAACATTATTCTAACAAGTATACTCTATATTATTCAGTTGGAAAATAATTATGTTCTTTTAAATGTTCATTTATTTCATTGTCTTGAAAAAATAATAAAAATGTCAGTCCTACAATCCTCTTAAAAATAATTTTATCTTAAAATTAAAATTTTTTACAAGTAAATTATTTAAAAAGGTCTAAATTCTAATCCTCCCCCGTTGTACTATCCTCTCTCTTTAACAAGTCACCATAGATCCTGTTTGAGTCTAATTTTAAGAAAGGAGTGCATTTTGTTATAATAGGTTGATGGGGGTATGTGTGATTAAAAAATAAAGAAAAAATTTGAATTTACGTGTAATATTATTATAATAAAAAATGTGACTGAAGAAAGGAGAAAAAAATATATTTTAAAAATAATAAGACCTGGACAGCATAATATAACGGGTCCCTTAAAAATAAAATAAAACACAAAAAGTGGAAATTATGCATAGGAATTAAGAATCTAGGCAGTAACAGCTCAGCACCACGTGGATCGATGAGGACCTGGGAATACACGAAAAGTACATCGACCGTCTTACAAGAAAAAAGGAAAGAAATCAAACTCTATTAATTACGCAAAGGAGAAAAATCAAAAAAGATAAAGTGAATTATTTAGAAAGATTCAAGAATCTACCGTCCGAGTCTGACAAATGAATCCAGTCCAAGACTTTGCCAAGATTTCAATAATCCACCTCACCAAATTAAAAAACCTGTTAAAAACGGAAGATTAATGAATGATTCCAGTAAAACTGTGAAATCATGACAAAAGATGACCACACTTTGTTGCCACACACACTCATAGTATAAATTCTGTGTATTTAATCGAATACCCTCTCTCTATAGATATATATGCACATATACGTCACAGAGCAGAGTTGTTTCTCTCTCTAGTTTTATCCCCGTTCTTGATTTTGCGTGTGTGTACGGATAATTGAAGTATGAGGGGAGAAGGTGGGAAAGAAGAGGGCGAAATTGATCGGCTTCCAATTGATCTTCTGGCCCATATATTTTCTCTCCTCACCTGCTTCAATGATTTGGCCCAGTTAGTTTTATTTGTTTTTTTTTTCCTGATTTTCTTGATTGAATTTTGGTTGATTATTATGTTTTGATGATTGATAAACATAATTTTTTGGTGCTTTACATGTTGGATTATATGTGTGTTTAGGGCAAGTGGCGTGTGCAGAAAATGGAGACAAGGAGTGAAGGAATCGCTGGCGAGGAAGGAGAAACTGAGTTTTGCAGGCTGCAAATTGGATGATGAATCTGTTACTCGCCTCGTTCTTCATGCTTATGGCCTCAAGGAGCTCTGCATGTATAGATACTTACTTTCTCTCTGTATATTTTTGTGTATTTGCATACTGTTTGAATCAATTGCAGTTGTTGTTGTGTAGGAGTATCGTTTTTTGGCATTTGTTTCTGGTCAACAAGAACATTATTTTACTAATTTAGAGGGGAACCTTAAAGGGATTACACAGAATGAAACATAAGGCCTGTGCTTTGCTGAGGAAACCCCCATCTGTTAGGGTTATCGAGTGTGTTGAATCATGTCGTGTAAAGAGAAGCCTTTTACATGAGATGTTTCCACCACGAGGATCCAGGCTTGGGTTTCCTTAAAATCCGTTTATAAAAATTTGGATGTGTGAGGTCTTCGTTAAAAAGAATATTGTGCCTGCATGAAGCGGCATGTTCTCTCTCCAATAGCTTAACATTTTAGATGAAATGGCTCCATAGGGCGTTCTCCTACACAAGATATTAGCAGGAATAATGAATACATCTTTTAGGGCAGCGATCGTTAATATGTTACACTAACAAGTGTGTGTGCAATTAGTTTTTACTTCGTATTATGGACTTTGTCTGATTTGACAAATATAAATGTAATTATCAAAGGTATGTCTCTGAATTGCAGCCATATGAGGGAAGGATTCTTTCGTTTTATAGAGGGATGAGGGTGTAGCAGATTATTTTTCCTTTTTAAATTATTTGAGTGTATTTGAATGTGTAATGGAAGCAGTTTCAATTATTTATAACTAAATTATCTGGATGAAAAGGGAAGTGCAGGGCACATTGTTCTGGTTTTTTTTTTTCCTTTTTCATTCGAATATGAACCATGCCGTTTATTGGTTTGTTTAGCAGCAATTTGAGAATTTTAACTTCGATTATCTAGTTTTATAAGGTTTTGCCATGTATTTTATCTTCAGACCAAGGAGCCGTTGGGGTTGCCAAATAACAGATCATGGTCTGCACCAATTGTCCAAGGCAAAATGTATCAGCAACTTGGTCTCAATTTCCCTGTGGGGTTTAACTGGAATCACAGACAAAGGAGTTGGTCAACTGGTATGCAGTCATAATCGTCTCTAAAAGTGCATTCTTCATGTAACCAATTGCATTGCTATCTTATGCTCTATTTAATTCCCTACAACATCAGCATTTTCTCATATTTGTGTCATCTCAATTAAGGGTTTGTTTGAGCTGATGAGAAAATATATTTTGTAATAGTGATTTTTTGAAGAGTGTGTTACTAAAAAGTTGGAAAATTTTTAAGTTTGCGTGTAAAATTATTTTATTAGGAGAATGTGTGGTTGAAAATGAGTTTGGAAAAAAATGAGTTTTTAAAGAATGGGGCTCAAACATGGGCTAGATAATAATTTAGTTTTTGAAATGCCATTATGCTTAATGGCATGTTTGACAAGGATTGTATAGCAGTGAACAATATTAATAAAGAAAAATAAGGTTTCTTTTTTGTTCCTGCATATGAAGCCGGCACTAGTTGTATTGGAGGTCATAATATGAGAACGTACTAGCTCTTGCTGCTTTAAGACAGATTTTGTACAAGTGTTCTGTTGTCCTGTTATGTTCTGACTTTTTGCTGTCTTCAGAGAAATAAAGAAGATAAACATAATATATGATAAAACTAATCAACATGTCAACTGGTATGCAGTTTCAGTACCTATTTAGTAATATCTCTATCTGTACATTAGGATTATGTCCTCTAAAAATGCATCAGAACAAAATTGCTTACATGCTTTAGCCAGGCAAGTATCGTGCTCCTGCATCCTTTAAATTGAACGAAGAGGAAATTTTCGGTTCTGCAGCATTCCATGCTATGTGCCATCAGTATAAAAGAAATCTGATTCAAGATTCTGCCAGCACTTGTTTGATTGTTAACACAATTTAGTGTCACGTTGAACTTTTCTTTTATGGTTTGTCTTGTTTCTTTTTTCATTACAAAGAAGCACGGTAAGAGAGTTTTGATGGTGCTATTCCCTATCGTTTTCAATTGTCTCGGGCTTTCAGAACAGTGTTGCAAACTGTTGTTTACACGACTTCGAATTTTGTCTAAATAAAAGCCTTTTCACATTGCACATGAATTCATCAAGTAGCTTTCTTCGATATTCAGAATCGGATTATTTTTTTCATTGTCTTATATTTCCTCAGATTTCAAGAGCGACTTCTCTGCAACACCTGAATATCGGTGGTACATTTATCACGGATGCATCTGTGGTTGTAATTGCAGAAAGCTGCCCACATCTGAAGGTTTGGTTTTTCATAACTTTAATATATGTTTGGTAATATAGATTGGACAAGACAAGACATTTCATTTATTGTATCGACTAATTCTGTCCAGCACTGCATATCATGTGAGATTTGTTTTTTGCTTATACTGAATGTAATGAAATTGTATACCCAGACCATTGTTTTCTGGGGCTGTCATCACGTAACCGAGGATGGGCTTATTCTTCTGGTTAACAAATGTCGGAAACTCGAGTCGATCAACGCATGGGGTATGAGAGTTCCTCTGGAATGCTTTATTGTTCTGCTTACAATCAGCCCAGCTCTTAAAATACTACCCAAAGCAATGTTGTTAGATGCTGAAAGGGCTCCCATGCCTGTCTTTTGAGGAATACCAGTTGTTGGGACAGTAATGCTCCATTTGAAAGAGATTATTTCTCTTCACAAACTGTTAATAAAACACATTGTGTAAAGATTGCTTGCTCTGTACTAGTCAATTCAATTAACTGGGAACAATACCTTCATATGTACAAATTATTATTCCTTAAATTCATCAATGAAAAAATAAAGCCAACCTTGAAATTTATTGGTAACATGACTTAGTTTGTTGTTGCGTACTTGCATTAATGAAAAAAATCGCAGGTTTTCTGCATGTTCTTTGTGTGTTTACTTGATAAACCAATGATGGTTTGGTCAGTATGCTAAGCCTGGTGTTCTTTTTGTGTCTTGCTCTCTTAAGATGGGACTACATTACTATCATGAACTTTTGAAGTAAGGCCCTGTTTGATGGGCTTTAAATTGCATGGAACTTGGAATTTAAGTTCCATTTTCCACAAAATGACTTGTTTGATGTGTAAAATTTGGATGGGAATTGATTTTCTTGATCTGTACCCACGTGCCTTGTTTTCCCTTATTTTGGGGAAAATCAATTCCCACCAATTGACTGCCTTTTTTTTTTTTTGGCAATTGAAACAAATTTCATAACAAAATATATAAAAAAAAATCATTTTAATGGATAATTTTCATATAAAGCAAAGTTAAACGAACACTAAACTTTGATGAAAAAATATTTTTTAGGAAAAAATTAGTTTTTTTTTTTTTTGTACTTTTTGGCAATGAAAACAAATTTTATAACCAATTGTGGAAAAAAAAATATCACTTTAATGGATAATTTTCATATAAAACAAAATCAAACAAATAGAAAATTTAAAAAATTTTCGGGTGGAAAATTATACCAATCAAACACACTTGAAATCANAAAGGAAAAAGTTTTTTTCAAGTTTTGGTGGGATTCCTTTTTTCTGTTTTTTTTTTTTTTTTTTTTTTTTTTGGCAATTGAAAAACATTGTAGACACAATAGTAAAAAAAATTATCACTTTTATTGACAATTATCATATAAAACAAAGCCAAACGAATGATATTCGGTATGATAATTTTTAATTTTTTTAAAAATTTTAAATTTTAAATTTTTTTTGCACTTGGAACAAATTTTAGATCCAATGGTAGAAAAAATTATGACTTTCATGAATAATTTCTATAAAAAATAAAATCAAACGGACACCAAACTTTCAACATTTTTCAGGTGAAAAATTATACCAATCAAATACAATTAATTACAATTTTCAGTAAAATAATTTTTAGACAATTCAATTCCTTAGAATTCTTATTCTTTCCATACATTTTTTACTTTTACAATCAAACGGACCCTAATTGAACTTCGGATGGTAAAAAATGGTTGGCTTTATTAGCAGAAGATCGGAATTAGGGCCTGTTTGGTACAGATTTTCATTTTCTACAGTAAATTAATTCTCATTTTCAACCACATATTCTTCAATAAAATAACATTTTCTATCACATCAATATTTTTTCTTCTTTTTCAACCACACATTTCCCATCATATCACTATTCAAAAATCAATTCTTCCCTTAAAAATCTCTACCAAACACACTCTTAACCGTGATAATTTTTGATACGTTAATAACAATAATAAGTCTTGTAAATTTTGAGTTTTTCTTACTCTGCATGATTACATGCATCGAAAAAAAAAGCAACAAATACCTTAATTAGCACGACTTCGGTTACTTTGTTCTCAGTGCCCCAACACTGGTAGATTCTAATTTGAACTCCTTTTCGCCGGTTGTTCTCACGGCATTATCTAGTAATGTAATTGTTATTTTGGTTTAAATAATAATAATAATAATAAAAAAAAAATCTAGCAAAACTTTTCATCTCTTCCTTATCTTAGAATGGTATCCTTCCATTTACCTCTGACCACCAAGTGAAATTCCGACATTTTTGTTTATAAATATTACTAGTTAGATCTTCCTCTCCTAATTCTTAAAAAATAATTGACCGTCAATGGGGTAAGTCAAAACAATATGGAGAAGAGAGAGGACCTAACCATTATATAGGAAATTATAAAGTCGGCACATTACCGACTCTAACCCTAATTAGGGTTTACAACATTTCGGTCCACATATTTAAAATTACCACATTATAAATAATAAAGTATATAAGGTGTACAACACCACAAGTAATCACTAACATATTTGGCATAATCATAGTATCATTGCAAACCATACATTTAACCCGTAAAATTCGCAGTCAAATGGAAGTCAACATAATAGAATTATTCTAACATTCTCCTACTTGAGCAAACATTTGATTGCTATAGAACAAAACTTTTAATTTTCGGGTCAGAGTACATAGGTGGCCACATAAGTATAGCTGTAATGATAACACCTTACACAACATGATCCGATCCAACAAAAATGTTAACATCGAACATGGAAGTAGTTACACCAATCAAACAATGTGAGACCACTCCACAGCTACAAATGCCAACATCCTTATTGACATGGATCATATCCTTAAACCAATGTGGTAGTATGCAGTATGAACTTAATACCAAATGTGATTAAAAAATTGTGCTAATTCATATCGGTCCTCAAAATGCTTATAATCCAAATGAAGACATATGTCTATAAAATAGACTCATCTTATGTCTTTAATTGTCATATCTCGAGATCAAAATAATAACATAATAAAAGACATAAGTCAAATGCATGCTTAAAATAATTTATGGATAGGGAAAAATATATTTTTTTATTGGAAATGACTGTACCCGAAAAACATAAGGGTTGTCTTACATAAATAACTCACACTAACCAAAAAAATCAAAAGTTTCTACAATATCCATATTAGCAACATGTGTCATAAAAACTTTAGGAGCGAATCCCTTAGTTAAAGAATCTGCAAATATTGCCTCTATATTAATATGCTCTATTTTCGTTTACCCTTCCTTGACTCTGTCTCTAACTATCAAATATTTCATGTCAATGTGTTTTGATCAACTAGAACTTTTATTTTTATTTTTGGAAAAGAATACCACCGTGCTATTATCACAATAAATAGTGATTGGTCTTGAGATGGAGTAAACAACTTTCAACCTAAAAATGAAATTTCTTAACCAAACGGCTTGAATTGTAGCTCCATAACATGCCACAAGTTCAGCCTGCATATTAAAAGATGATACTAGAGTCTGCTTAACACTTTTCCACGAGATAGCACCTCCAGCCAACATGAATATAACCTGGGGTTGATTTCAAATCATCTTGACATCCAGCAAAATTAGAATCTGAGTAGCCTAAAAGATAACCTGAGGTTGATATCAAATCATCTTGACATCCGGCAAAATCAGAATCTGGGTAGCCTACCACCTCAAGGTGATTTGAACGCTGGAAAGTGAGCATGTAACTTTTAATTTTCTTTAAGTATCTCATAATCTTTTTAGCCGCTTTCCAATACTCTTGCCCAGGATTCGACTGAAATCTACCGAAAACACTGATTGCATAAGCTATATTCGATCTAGTGCAAACTTGAGCATACATCAAACTCCCCATAGCACTAGTATATGGAATCATCTTCATAGACTCTATTTCTAGCTCATTCCTGGGACATTGAGTTTTATTAAACTTATTCCCTTTAATGAAAGGTACATCACCAGGTGCACATTTCTACAGATAGAATATTTTTAGAACACGTCGTATATAAGCCTTCTGAGAAAATCCCAATACACCATGATCTCTATCACAATGTATTAAGTCCAAAATACCATCACTCCTAGTGGAACCTTTCCTAGTGGATTTATTCAACTTTCCTTTTATACAATCTATATAAGTGTCAAAATCAGAGAAGTCGAGAGAGGAAAGTATCTCAACTTTAACCAATCTCTTCATCCTATCATTTGAAATGTGACTCAATTTCTTATGCCACAACATGGAGAATGATTTACAAATTAGAGACCCTTTCTTTGATACATTCGTANTTTTCTTTAACACATTCGCAATACAAAAGACTTCACCAAAAGAAGTCAAAGACAATTTATATAAACCATCACATGAGAGACCATTTCCAATCAAACGAGAATCACAAAACAATTCAACCATTCCATTACCAAAATTAAAGGAAAAACCAGAAGCATCAAGTTTCGATATAGAAATTAAATCATGTCTCATTGTCGGTACAAAAATAGTATTCTCTAAAATAAGAAAGAAACCAAACTCCGAAGACAATTTCACTACTCCCATGAACTCAACCTTCACTCGAACTCCTTTCCAAACGCACAGGGTTATTTCATTCTCACTTGGCCTCCGTTTGCTTGCGAACCCCTGCGTAACTCTTCTTTTTCTCAAACCAAATTTTAAATTTGAAACAATCTTTTTGCCAATGACCCTTCTTTTTGCAGAACTTGCATTGATCATTTTTCTTTATCATTCCTTTAGGACCATCAGGAGTCTGACCTCTAAAATTTTTGTTCTGGTGATTGCGGTGTGACTTGTTGCCCT